ATTGAGATTGTCAAGAGGAAGACAGCAGGGCATTAAACCAAATGCAAGGCCATGTGAGCACGGGCACACGTCACACATCCTTGGAGCCAGCCTCAGTGCCACCGCATCCCTCACAGAGTTTCCCACATCTCTCCCTCTCCTCCTCCTTCCTCTGATTCCCTTCTCTTTCCTTTCTTTTTTCTCCTTCGTTACCCCTTTTCATTTCTCTCTCCCTTCCTTCTCCTAACTCAGAGAGTGATTGTGAAGATAAATACATTTTTATAAAGTTAAAATGTTTTATAATCTAAACCCCCAAAAAACAACGGTGGTTAACATCGCTGTGTTTTCCCTCTGTTATCCTTCTCACTTCTTGTCCTTCATTCATTTTTTTCTCCTTTCTCCTCCCATGAGTGAGGGTGTCTTAAGGACTCTCAGTTTCCATACTGGCCTACTAGTTCACTTTGTCTCTCTAGCTTTCTTTTCTAAAGGCCTCATTCTGGGGACATCTGCTATGTAAATAAGAACTGAAATAAGCAATTGAAGAATGAATGAAACAATGGGCAGTGTTGTCTTTTTTCTTCCTTTGGAAGCTGAGATGTGCAGCAGTGGCTGGGTGTAAACAGATTATGCATACCCTAAAAAGGAAACATTTTAAGTGTCAACAAAATCAGTGTAAGTACCAACTGGGCTCTTTTCTGAAAAATGAACAATCCAGAAAGAATTGAACCTGATTATTTGGCTCCTAGTGCCCCCGAAACCACAAACTTAGTACTTTCGTGGTAACTGCCATTACTTTTCACATAAAACTCAACCATTCTTACAAATGGAGCTTAAATTTGGTTTTATTGAAATGTACTTTTCTGACTCAGCTCTGAGATCAGTTCTATTTGCATTAATGTATCAGGGCTCAGGAAGCCAATAAAAGGAATTGTGTGTGTTTGGCACTGATGTATGTTTGTGCACATGCAGGGCTATGCAGCTTGAGAACTGGACTTTCAGAAGGGAATCCAGATAGAAAGAAATTCTTAAAAAACAAAGGAACAGAAGCCTTCTAATACTGATTGCACAATGTTCTACTTTGTAAGTGGCCTGTACCGTGTCTTGTACTGTGGTGCATATGTATTTTAATGACATACCTGTAGGGCCATCGCATACTGGCTCAAAGGGAGTAGATATATTTATCCACTGGCAATCAAAAGTATTAAAGAGTGACCAAAAGTCAGATGGGGAGTTTGAGATATACTTTTTGTGATTTAAAGAACTCCAATTTGTAAATGAGGGAGACTGTTCCAGAAAGAAGTCACACAGTGTGGGCCTTGTTGCTGGATTTATGCCCCCCACTTGAATATAGTTATCCATATGGATACTTGTAACAATATTTTGTTTTGATTACTGTGCAGGATCCCATTGTATTCATGTGATTTATTTATCCACTATACTGCTAATGGACCCTGGGATTGTATCTATTTAAAAGCTGTTGTGAAAAAATTGTCATGGACATTGCTATCCATATCCTTAGTCTAGTTTTATTTACTAATTCATTTTTCTTTGATCTGTGTTTAATAAAGGAATGCTGAGTTATAAGTTGTCCTTATATTTTTAGTATTGATCGATATCTACAGTCTTCCTAATGATTATACAAATTGATACAGTTGTCATTAATATATGAGTGCTTTAGCTGCTTCAACTAGCTTATACTTAATGTCATTAGTCTTTTTGGCCATTCTGAGTGGCATCATTTTGGCTTTAATTTGCATTTCATGATGAATTATGATGTTGAGCCCATTCTCACTGGCATGGATCATTTGAATATTCTCTTTCGTGAAGTGCCTGCTCAGCCTTTTTGCCCATATTTAAGATTTGTTGTGAGTACACAACATGTACACATGTGCGCGTGTAACTTTATTATGGATTTGTAAAAGTCCCTTACATTTTCTGGAAATGAGTCCTTTGGTACATATTTGTATTGTGAATAATCACCTCTCTGTTCATTAATGGTTCATTTGCGATGTTGCCCTTTAAGGAACAGAATTTCTTAATTTAATTAAGTGAATTTGTCAATCTTTTATGTGTCTTGTTAAGAAATTGTTGCCTATCCCAAACTCATTAAGCTTCTCTCCTGTATTTTTAAAACTTTTATTATTTTACCAGTCACACTTAAGTCTGTGATCCATCTCAAGCTCAGTTTTGTATACGGGATGAGGAAGTGTCAGGATTTTGTTTTGTCTTGTTGAATATTCAGATATCCAGTATTTCTGACACTATTTGCTGAAAAGACAGGTCTTGCTTTCTTTTAATGTGAAGTTACTTCTCCAGAAGCTTACAGTGTTTTTATCTGTGACTACAGTGTTCTTGATCAGTGAATGAGGGAGGTTGTCCCAGAAAGAAGCCTGACATTTGAGTCCCCAGTAAGACATTTAGATTAATTACAAAGGTGAATGGGGCCTTTGTAATTCACCTAGAATTAGATGAATTCCAGAAAGACATCAGCTATTTCTCTAGCTAGGAGTTGATAAAGTAGTTGATCTAGCCCAAGTGTTCATGTTTATACAGTAATACTTCCTCACACCATGCCAACTAAAAATAATTTTTTCTGCTCCATGCTACCTTTCTCATAAAAAAGGATGTATTAAATAAAAACACAATTTAAAAAATTATTTTTAAGCATGATATAATCCCATAGAAGAAATACGGAAAGAGCACAGCTGGTTGGTTCCTGTAGTCTGATGTGTAGTTTTCAGTCTACCAGGAAATTCTATTCCTGGAATGGGAATACTGCATAACTGTTTTAACAAAAGCATCTCCACTCTCTCTCTTCCTCCCTCTTCCCTCCCTCATTCTCTCTCTCTCACATTGCAGTGTGTGTCAAAAAAGTGACTTGGTCTCTGTTGATTAGCTGGCATGCCAACCAGTACATATGATCTGACCACTAAAAAGAAAATTGCTGCAAGATTCAGTGTGTGACTTTCATGCTTTCGACCTCCCCTTTTCAGCTGGTTGATACCTAGGAAAAGCAATGGGCTTTTTCCTTAGGTTCATACAGCCAGGGACTGTTACACATGTAAAAGGGACCATGAGGATTTGGACAGCTTCAGAAGCGAGGTAAAGAAGTTACAACATCTAAAGTGAACAAGAACCATAGAGTAACAGGAGACTGCCAAATGCTGCCAAGTGAATAAAAGCAACCAAATTCTGAAATGATATCTTTTATTTCCTAAAAACTTTGTGCTTAATTACTTCCTGGGTATGCAGGTTTTGAGGGTCCTTCTAAATGTTAGAAAGTCATCTATAGTGTTCTAAGCCATTGCCAGTTACTAGAACTTGGCCTAGAATAATTTTATTATTGTTGAATCATTTGTTTTATTATTACAATATTAGATCAGTAAACTTGCACAGTAACGGTTCAAGAGAACAAGGTATAAAGCAGAGGAAGAATGTGCCAGTGGAGGTAGCATAAACCTGGAGACCTATAATGGGCAGGATAAGCTGGTGAGAGCTTAAAGAGTATTGCTAGAGTACATTTTCCTAGTAAGCTCAGTTTTCCCATTGAAGGAAGCCCCTCACCCAAAGAAAAAGACAAAAATACCCATTCTTCTGTGACATCACCTATTTGAGCTTTTATGAAATTTAATTAGAGGGGGTAGAGAACATCCCTCCACTTGTGTCGTTTCTTGTTTAAGGATCACCTCTGCCTGTTTACTGGAAATTGGCACCTATTATCTCATCATTACTCTTTATTTTTTTTAATAGAGAATTTTTTTCTGTCTCTGAACAGTACCGTTGCATTAAACACATGTGCAAGTATACATTTACATGCTTCTGGCCAGATATGTTTTTATCATGCCCATTTTCCAGTAAGATAATTGTGCTTCAACACATTGCCGGTAAGAGTGCTGAGAGCAGCACTGCTGTCCGGCTTGCTGAAGGTCAAAGTGCGGCAACCCTGTAGAGAAAAACCTTCTGGGGGGAGCACATAATTGCATCAGAGGCAGTGAAGAGAACTTCAGCTTCCCTCACCAAGCTTTTGTGATTTTTCTTCTGTGCTGGAAGGGGATCATCTGTAGAGGACATCTCTGAGGAAGTTAAATCAGCTTTGGCTTGGTTCATTTGTACCGGCTTTCAGAAGAAGATGGTATTGCCACTGATGAGTTTCTTTTAAATGACTGTTTTCTCCAGCAGTATTTTATAAATGGTTGCTGCATTAACGAGTAAATGAAACTTCCCTGAAGAACACACTCCACCATGCCTTTAGTGTCTTTACTGACACATCTGTGAAGACGGATGTACCCTAAAGAGCTCGCTGCAAACTAAGTAAGTCATATTTGTCTCCCAGGAATGTTTTATATGCTGCAAAATGTGACAAAGGCCATTACAGAGATTATATTTCCCAGCAATGAATCTGCTGTCCATCCTCTGCTACTCCAAACATTCAGACAATGCTATAGAATTAGTCACAGCCTGGGAAGCAAGCAGTCATTGACTAGCTGCCCTGATAGCTTCCCTGAAGATAGGGCAGTGACAGTAAATTTCTTAAACTGACCATGGGTGTTGAAAAGATATTTTTAAAACAACTTTCTAAATTCTAAAACCTAAAAAAAATTTTTCCAAAATTTATGTTGATAATCAAGTATTTATTATTGATGATCAGCTAAACAAAAATGATCAATTCCACAAAATATGTATTGTTAGATTTCCTTTAAAAAGACATCTGTATAACCTGTTCAAAGATACTAAATTGGTCAAGTCAGTTGAAATTCTTCTACTATTTATTGAAAATTCCCAAGCTAGAAATTGGTCTCTGACCTTGAGAAGATAATGATGCTTGTTAAGCTTAAAAGTAAAACTGGGGCGGGCGGGGAGGCGGAGCCCGGAACGGCCTCGGGGGCCTCGCGGCGAGCGGGCCCGAGCGGCGGGAGCGCGGCGGCGGGCGGCGGGGCCCTCCGAGGGGCAGGGCTGGCGGGGCCGCGGCGTTCCCGCTCCCGGGGGCGCAGACCTCCCGGAGAGCGCAGCGCGGTGCGGCGCGGCGCAGATTAAAATTCAAGAATTATAAACCAGGCGCAGCAGATTCTTGACATGGAGAACAAAGCCCATGATACAACAGGAGCTTCTCCTTGTGAGGCTGAACTTCAGGAATTAATGGAACAAATTGACATCATGGTGGGACTACTTAGACAGAAGCTGGACAGTCTGGAAAAATGTAACTTAGTGATGACTCAGAATTATGAAGGCCAACTACAAACTCTGAAAGCTCGATTTTCCAAACTAACGAATAGCTTTGAAAGACTGAAATTACACCAAATGAAACAAAACGATTTTCAATGAAAAGAATTACAGCACCCTGAAGAAGAAATACCCTTTGAACTGAGCAACTTGAACCAGAAATTAGAGGAATTTAGAGTGAACTCCAGAGAATGGGACAAGCAAGAGATACTATATCAGACTCATCTGGTTTCTTCAGATGCTCAATAAAAATTATTATCTGAGAAGTGTAAACAATTTCAGAAACAGGCACAAAGTTACCATACTCAACTAAATGGTAAGAAACAGTGCACAGAAGACAGCGGCTCTGAAACTCCTCAGCTGATTCGTGAACCACATCACAGTTTTGAAAATGAAAGAGATGAGTTCATTATTGAAAAATTAAAATCAGCTGTGAGTGGAATAGCATTAAGCAGGAATAAGCTACAAGATGAAAATCAGAAGCTCCTAAAAGAACTGAAAATGTACCAAAGACAGTGCCAGGCCATGGAAGCAGGACTCTCAGAGATGAAAAGTGAATTGCAGTCATGTGATGATCTCTTGAGAATTACAGAAATGGAACGACTGCAGTTGCATAGAGAATTATTAAGAATAGGAGATTGCCAAAATGCCCAAGAAAATAAAAAAAGACTTGAATCATCTTAGTCACCTCCTCTTAAAGAACCAGAATGGGAAAAGAAAGAGGTGTTTTCAGTGACCCCAGATAAACCAAATCATGAAAAAGAATTGAGCAAGATAAGAAGCCAAGTCTATCAGGAGGAAGAGTACCACAGCTCTGAGCGGGAAAGAATGAGGCATGAGATCTGCGACCTAACAGAGGAGCTTCATCAGAAGGATATCACTATAGCAACAATCATGAAGAAAGCCTCCCTTCTGGAAAGACAGTTAAAAATGGAGTTAAAAATAAAAGAAAAAATGTTAGCAAAACAACAGGTCTCAGACATGAGGTATGAAGCCGTCAGAACTGAAAACACACATCTAAAAGGAATGATGGGAGATTTAGACCCGGGACAGTACATGGGTATGGGCTTCACTAACAGGGAACATTCAAGGCATGCATCTATTGACAAACTGGAATATGAGAATGAAAGGCTCCGAAACGATCTTGCAAAACTCCATACCAGTGTAAAATCAGCATGGGCTAATCAAAATACCTGTGAAGAAACAGGACAGTACGCGTACCACAGCCAAATAAAAATGGAAAAAGATAAAGATAGGCTCAGCCGAGATCGCGAGCCGAACAGAAGCACAACGCCCGTGTTGCCGCCTTTGCCATTTCAAACCAAAGAAATGGCAAGTCCTTTGGTTGGTGATGATGAACTATTCCCATTTTCTCCCCTAGATATATCTTTCCCAGCTTCTTTGGCTGCACAGCAATTCTTTCTGGAGGAAGAAAAGCGAGCAGAAGAATTTGAAAGACTTCTAAATACACATATTGATGAACTGCAAAGACATACAGAATTTACTCTTAATAAATACACCAAGCCCAAACACAACAGACACATATGACCTTTTAAACTTTTTCATTTGCTTCTCCTACCCCAAGAAAAAAAGCTCTGGCAAAATATTTACAAAGCTGATTAATAAAACTGAGAAATTTTGTTCTGTTTTCTTGACTAAATCATTTTTGTAAGGCAGCTAGAAAATAGTAAGTATTTTGTTGATTAAAGCTGTTTGTGCTTCTTCATTAACATAATAAATTGTTTGGCTGTAGAGTTACTATAAAATAAACATAACTACAAAAGAGGCTTTTTTCCAGTCTAAGGAATATTTTGGAATTAAATATGCAGTTTTTCTTTCCCACTTGAATCATGTATACTGAAAACCCATTTCCTCTGTAACAACACAACATGAGGGAAGGGAAGAGACTTAATTCAAGTGTAAGCAAATCAAGTACTGCTCAGTGTCTAAGGTTTGAAAACTCAAGGATTTTTACAAATGAAAAGTATTAAGTATTTGGCGCTATATAAACATCCTAAAATTTATTTTAGGAAAAAGAAAGGTACAGCTATAGTGTTCCTGCAGTCATCTTTGTAATGTCCCTGTTTTAGCACAAGACAAGACATGGAATATGCTGTTTACACAGTAACATATATGTGCCTAAGATGAATGCTTTACTGTTAGTACTAATTACTTTATGGACATGAACATGGTAAAAAATAAAGTAATGCTTTATATTTTGTAAGAGATAAAAGAGGTATAAATGTAACTGTTGTTACATTTTCCTTTGTAAGACCTCTGTTTTTCATACAATAAAGAAATGTAAAATTCAATGAACTTAAAAGCATAAATGCCAAATCTGTATAGAAGAGCAATAGCATGACAGCAAACAATAAAACTCTAGTTATAAAAAAAAAAAAAAGTAAAACTGTCAGTTATTTTACCAGCAAAATGGGCTTATTCAGCAATAGCAGAGAATTGCACTTTGAGATAAGCAAGCTATGGTAAAAACCACAGCATGTCAGGAGAATAAAGGAGAGGAGACTCTTTTATAGAAGAAAGGGGGCAAGCTGGGGGAATGTTCTAAGCAGCAGGTCCATTGGCACTAACTAGGAGGCCTATGTGTCATGCTATCCATTGGCTGAGTTGTAACAGTCTTTCATTGGCTGGGATGTTGCCAGGCTGTTGCTTGAGGAGACCGAAACTCTTCCCTCCCACTGGGTGGTAAACTAGCTAAGGTAGTACGAATTGTAAAGCTTCTGCCTCTTCCTTCCTGTGGGGTCTGCAGTTGACCAGAAGTGATGGGCATGAGGGCTCTCCCGAGACCTCCCCAGCTCCATGTCAGTGAGGCTTCCCCTGATCAACTTTCACATAGTAGAATGAGATCCCATATGTGCAGCAAAAGTGCACAGTCAAGTAGTAGATTATTTGATGTATATCTGAAAGCATTCACCTCAGTATATATACCAAATGCAGTAATTTACCAATGCTTCCAGGAAGAAAGTCCAATTGAATGTGGCTATTAAAACATAAATTGATGATTTGACAAATGCAAAATTGGGCTGTACTCCTGATACATGGTTGCATTAAAATATATGTGTTGCTTATTAAAGCCACATCACACCCAGGCCGGAAAGGTGCTGTTTAGTCCAACATGTCTGTCCGCTCTGACTGTGGTTTCTCATGTTGCTGTTGGCAATGTCTTTGTTCCTGAACTCCTCAGCTTTCCTCATTCTCTTCACCATGACTAGTAGCATTTCCAAGATTTTGTACTTTATGTTTCCTGTGGAGTTTGACTTCATACCCAAAGCTCCATTTCTCAAATCCTGGACAGTACCTCCTGTTTTCCCTTCATTGACCTTTGGTACTCCTACATGTGCTACCGGAATAGAGCAATATTTTACTTACTGGAACCAAATGGTAAGTGGACTGTTAGTCAGAGTGGTCCCAAAAATAGCAGTAACAGCAATGCATGTGTTTTCCCTGTGCACTAATTCTCTCGAAACTAACTTCCTATGGTATTATAACACCTGTAAAGCTGACATTATGGTATAGTTTCATCATGTTTGTCTTTTCAATAAATAACTAAAGTGTTTAGCATCTTCATCCTGCCCTTTGTGTTTAAGCTAACAAAAGCCACAGTGCTGGGGAATAACATGATGCATCCTCACCAGTAAAGTCAGATGAAAACAACAAAAAGTAGTGAACAAACCCACTTTCTGTCATCTCAGAAGGCCAGTCAACTTCTTCCAGGGACATTCTTCTATTTAAAGGCTTTGGGGTGGCCATGACAGGCAGGAGGAAACATAAAATGACTGAGGTCGAATGGTAATAGATAATCCTGTGTTCCTGTGAAACCTCTAGGTTCTGCATCTTCCTTTATTACTAGAAAACTCTGAGCCTAATAATTTCATCTGGACCCCAGATCACCTACTGCCATGCTGGGTAGCAGGTAGTTACTTAGACACAATTAATCTAGTTTGTTGTATTATCTTTTTCCTTCACCCATAAAAAATATGTGTGTATGTAATGTAAGTATAATATGTAGATATTCACTTTTGCAGCTTGGCACTTATGGTAAGTTACTGAGAAAGACTTAATAATCAGGGTTTGGTGTGAGTAGTGAGGAAAAACCTACTTTTCAGCCACCAGGTCAAGAGCAAAGACCAGTTCAATGAATTGACTTGAAGCATAACAGAAAACTGTAACTAATGTCAGGAGCTCAGGAGAGAGTCAAGTTGATAATTTAAGATTTTAAATATATAAGATCATTGTCAGAAAGAACACCGAAAAGATCACGAAGTGTGTGGAGCAAAGCTAGATGATCCAGCTTTTAGCCGGGAGCCGTGAATATTTTAAATTGTTAAGATGAGCCCCAAGTGTTCTCTGCTTCCACCTATTTCTATTTTAAAATCAACCTAGTGTTAAAAACCATAACTGGAATTTTTCCTGCTATAAAAAGATGTAGCAGGAGAAAACAAGGCATGATTTTTCAGATACAGTTTTTAATGTTATGATGCTTAGAAAATATTCATATCTGTGATTTATCATTATATATATATGATACCAAAATACCTGCCTATATTTTATAACTGTAAATGTATATAATCTATCCATTTTCAGAGAAAGAGGAAAGAAAAGTATGAAAAATGAAGATTGGGAAAGTCTGAGGCATTTTGGAATGGGGTTATGTGAGAAATCCAAAGAAAATGTATCTGGAAATGGATAAATTTGGGAGGGATAAACAGGTGCACATCACAATGGATATCCGTGTCTTTATCTAGGGTTGAGGAATAATCAAACGTGCCTCTAGAGACTGTCTCTACCCAGCATCTTCTTGTCCACATTCTTTTGTTAGGGCTTCTAGTTAATAACAGGAAAGACCAAAACTCTGCATTGTTTTATGCTCCCTGTGCCTAACGTTATCTCAGCAAGAGACTATCAAACAACTCTCTAATTTAAATTCATGTTGTGCATCAGCTTTCGAAACTTTATTCTTAAGGTTACAGCAGTATTCCAGTGCAGCCTTGTTTTGCAGTTTTTCCCCTTCAGGATGGACTGCTTTGTGTATTACATTAAAAATGATTGATATGGACTCACCTTATATATAACACCATTATGTTACTACTCTTTAGGTCATTTAATCTTATTTGATACATACTGCAACCTATTACAAATGAATGCATAAGAATATGAAATATGTGCCCCTAGCAGATCAGGATTACAGGAAGGCATTCAATTTTACTTTCTTTCAGAAGGAAATTAGGAAGGGACTACTCTGAACCAGAGATAAATAGTCTTGAATGCTGTGCTGTAGAGTGCCTGATGATAAGACTAGTGGTGAAATAAAGATCAAGCTTCCAACAGTAGTTAATTCTGAGTATTCCCACTGGAGACTTGTTTGGTGTTCCCTGCAGCTCCCCATGAAGGGAGCCCATCTCACATTTCACTTAGGGTTTCTTAACAGAGGCCCAGTCACCTTTTCTCAGCTCCCGTATTGTATTTATAGTCATCTGCTTAGTTTAACTCTGGGGTAACAATGAGATATTTTAGAGAATATGACTAAGATTGCACGAGTTTAGGAGTTTCTAAAGTTGTAGAGTTGTTGGAATCACACTTGACTCCTCTATTGTGACTCATTTTACCTCTCAGAAGTCCACCATTAAAAGTGTTTTCCCTTCAGTTTAAGATTTAATATCTTGCTAAAACCCAGAAGTGTTCACATGGATTATATAACCATTTAAACTGTCCTTATGTATTTATATTAGTTACTTACACTGCAGTGTCATTGAATAATATGCAAGTTAGTATTTATAGGCAGGTCAGGATGTTCTCTGTGGAACTTACTCCCTCTGTGGTAGTGAGGGACAGACACCCATTCCTACCCATACAGTTAATCACAAAAGAATATTCTATGTAAGGTTGCTATAAAAAATGTGAAGCAGATACCCAAAATGAGCTACTGTGTACAAAGGTAACTGGTATTCTTTGCATTCAGCACATAAAATACCAACTTCCATCTGTGAAATGTTTATAGGAGTTGGAAAGTAAGTGCACTGCAAGATGGTAAAAGCGTTCTGTGTTCAGGGACCCCAAAAGAACCTTTGCCTTTGGATTTGACCAAAGCTGGCTCAGCAGCTCACATCTCATTGAATTTGTTACCTCGAACACATTTTACATCTCTCAGTTTCCTTCTCTTCACCTATAAAATAGTAAGAATGATAGCCATAGAATTGGGAAGTCAATTTTGTATATTTTGTATTTATTACAGGTGCTCAGTGAAAGATAGTTACATTGGAAGTATAATGATGAGAGCTCAGGAAACACATACCGGTAGACAGGAGGGTACCACACGCTGTTGTCTTACTGTGTTAAATACAAACTATCGTCTATACTTAAACCCCTGAAATCTTCAAATTGCCCATTACAAGACAAGAACTGGATATTCTTTCTTTCTGTAGTTTCAATTAAGAGAAATATTCTATGCCTGCACAGTTCTTAAGAAAATAAATTTACAGTTTCAGAGAAACCATGCACACTAACAAAATAGAGAGTTAGCTATCAGAGAA